AGAAGATATGATTTGACACTTTTACATAAGAGAAGTATAGTGTGACATCAATGATAGGTCTGCTACTGGCCTGACTGACCAACTGTTGGTGCTAGCCATAGGCAGACCCACGTGTGAACTACAGTCCGGCTAATCAGGAACTGACTTGAAGAACTTAAGTTCCTTCTTACAGATAGCTGGGGTCCCGTTGGTAAATTCTCTTACACGTAAAGAGAGGGCGTTGAAGAGTTTTATTCTCTTTACACTTATTGAGTTCTCTCTTAGTCTACACTCAGTACACTTAGTGTACTCAGTCTATCCTCCTGTTCATTGACGTATTTTTGCATTATCTGCCAAACATCTTACTCTCAGAGTATTTTCGGTGTGCAAATTTTGAGAACATTTCTTCCAGAATTTTCCATGTGTAAATTGTGATACATCGTTCTTACTCACGTTCCAAGGAGTACATATTGAGGGACTTCAAGCATTCCCAGTAATTCAGGTGCTTGATTAAACTTATACTGACAGTGAAAATTTTCTGTACATTCTCCAGCTGTGTACTTTGCCTCACTTAAAAGCTAATATTAGTATAGAACAATAAGCCATCCTAGGGAAAATAAATGATACGAGGATTATTATCATAGGTTTGTCATCTCTTGTTTTGATCATAATAAAATTATGATGTTTGAATGTGAGATAATCTTACATCATCACTCCCAAGTCTCTCACATTAAACATCCGTTCTGTCCAGTGCTTCTAGTTTGTTTTTCACTCCGTTCCAGTTTTTATTTCCACAATTTTTCTATATAGCGGAGTATGCTAAAATTGTCCTCAGTTACGCTGCTGTAGAAAAACTAAGGACATATAAACTGAAAGTTAATGCGACAAAAAACTCGAAACTCGATTCACTGAATAGAGCGAAAGTTTAATTGAAAATACTTTAATAATGTCATGACCTCTTCCTTACCTTTAATATACTTCTTTTTACACAGGGTTTAACCAGGTTAGGGTAAGAGTTCCTAAGTTTGTTTATAAGCTAAGAGCTGTTACCTATATAAGCTCATTTGAAATCCTTTTTGTTATGAAACATACAAGTAGGGACCAGGATGAAGTTGGAGCTATCCGTGGGCCAGCATTTTCATTTGATCAGCTGACTTTGTCTCGGTGATATTATGCTGCACGAGCATGTTCTAGACTCGAGTTATCCTGGGAATTAATGATATCAGATGAAGTGATGTTCTGAAGAAGGGTTCAGCCAGAGTGAAGTTGCTGCTTGCTGCCCGTCTTGTTGTGTAGAAGCTCACGTCTCGCTGTCCTCAGAGTAGAGCCAAGTGTGATTCTTGACCAGTGTTGGCCTTGAACATGATATCGTTAGGGGTTCTTAAATGGAGATATCGAGGGTTGAAGGTAGACGCACTTGTTGGATGGTAACATATATTTGTCAGACTGTGATGATGAACGAGGAGCTCAGCTCTGCCCGTCTTAGCCTGTCTAGGTCTACACGCCGTCTGAGACCGGGGCAGAGGTACGAACGTGCACATGCGCATCCCGTGACGTCACACAAAGTCACAGGCCTAAAAGGGATCTCCTATCTAAAGCACATGGATGATACTATATGCTATGCTATATAACACAGGGATCAGCAACTATGCTGACAGCTCGGTCATGTTACGTATGTCGTCTCGACATACACTACTATCTTATAGGCTGAACAGGCAGGCGGTCTGGCTGATTCTATACAATAACAAATTCATGTATAACTTAGAACTAATGGATGGTATCATAATGGATGTTAACAAAATGAGTTTTACGTAATGGGTGTTAACGTAATCACTTTTAACGTAATGAGTTTTAAACGTAATGCATTACAAACTATAAGAACAAATCATTGTACAATATGGATGAATTGATCGATCGATCTGTATTCATGCACTCTACGGATTCTGAGGAAGAATAAATATATATATATATACAAGGTAAAATTAACAGCAAAGGCATCTGGTGCACTCAGGACTATTACTGTCAATTCTCAGAATACGGAGGGAACGTGAATATGAGAAAAAAAAAATTTTTTTGAAAAAAAAAAATCAGTTAATAACAAACAGTTGACAATTTACTTCATCTCGGACATTATTATACGACTAGTACATTTA